TTATTTAAAGAATAAATGTTAAAAGTGCCACCCGCTTGAACTCGAAGTAAATCTTTCTTCAAAGATTGTGAGCCACCAAAAATTTTTTTCAGTGGAGCTTTAAGATCCTCCACTTTCACATCCTTTCGTAATAACGAAAAAATGTATTTTTTATTTTTTTCATTGGATTGACCACAATGAATTTCCTCTGAAAATAAGGATTTACTAAAATTTAATAAATTTTTTGGAAAATAATTTTTAAAAATTTTATTTGTTTTGAATACCACTTTAAATGATTTTAAAATTTTGGATTGTTTAAAAGCAAGTTTTAGTTTTTCGAGGGTGAACGAGAAATATTACTCAATGTGGCTACAAAATTAGCTATCTTCTATATTATTTCACTTTCTTTATTGGCGCGCCATGTTTTAAAAAAATTAAAATACATCTTTTTGTCGAGTATTTTCCATGTATAGAACTGTATAGAGATTTGTGTAATTACAATTTATGATTTTCTACGGCAATATTTGAAATATTAAAAGGCGTATATCAAACGCCCCAATCATCATCGGAATCTGCTTACGCTAACACGCGAGAGGCAGCTGATTCACGAGTAGAGTGCGGGAATCATCAATCGCCCCGTGGTTTCGCACACTATATAAAAAATGGGCCGCATTCTTCCCCGTGAAAATCTAAGGGCCCAAAGCAGTAAAGGCCGTAACAGTAATACTGTCAAGAGGCCAGTGCTGCAGCATTGCGACTGGCTCCGCTTCTGAATAATTTACTGCAAATACTGTAAAATGAAAATATATTCCTGTTTATTTCATTAGTTCAATAATAATAAAATTATTGCTCTTTTTGGACAAACGAAATGATTGCAGATGTGTATGGTGCTAGTTTAAGCACCATTAACAGAGATATTTCTTTAAAAAATGAAGGAAGAAAGTTTTCTTTTTTTCTATTTTCCCTTCTTTTTGTTAATCTGTAAGGGTCAAAATTTCAAGATATAAACACTTGAAAACATTTCGATAAATTTTTAGGTGTAGAAAATTCGTAAGGATAATTGAAGTCAATATTCGTCGGCTTAATGTGGTTTAAAAGGATTTATAGTTATATAAAGAATTTAAAAAAAACAGGCTTTTTTAGCATTTGTAGGAAAGCACAACGGGAAAAATTATTTAAATCCGGCTGAAACACCTTGTTTTTTTTCTCATCTTCATATTACATTTTCATTAAAAATGGTTTTCGCGGGGAGGGGGGCAGGTTTGACCTTCCTTATTCTTTGCTACTCCTTTTAAGAAAGAAAATGAACACTTGTCACGGTTATTGTACGATAGTCTAATGTGGCCGGGATATAATGGGTTTCCATGCAAAATGCATGTTTTTATGTGGCTCTTCAAGTTTGGTAAATGTTTCATGCATGCTCACCCGAAAAACGCAGAAGGGGCGCAGACCAATAAATACAGATGTTTCCGATCTTTTAATGCTTTTTGTTTGTAAAAACAGCGTCAGGACCGCCTCATTCTTGCAAAGTATCTAAATAACGTATTCGGATGAAAAACTGATTTAAGAGTTAAATAATGAAAAGCATGACAAAACAGTTTTCTTACAAGAGGTAAAATTAAGTAAAATTCTTTGTAATAAGGATACTTTTAGCTCTGTGAAAACTTGCTTAGTTAGCACATATTTTTTTTGGAAATAAAGACAGTTTCATACTTTTTTCTTTGATTTTAAGTATGAAAAGGCTTTATTTAAAAAAAGCGCCCACAGCAGCATAACGTCTCACAATATTTCTAAATTGAATTTTCAACATTTAGTTTAGAACAATAATTAGTCTGCACAATCATTTAAAGCATCCGTGATCTGCGAATAAAATTTAACGAAAAGTTTGGAGAGGTTTTGATAACTATTTTATAAATTTGACACTATAATTGGTACTCAAATATAGAAAAACAATGCTGGTATATTTCACAACAATGTGCGGGTAATCCATTTTACCAACTCTTGAAAAGTGGCCGTAAATGGAAATGGGACCGAATACGTACCAGGAAGCATTTGACAAATTAAAAGAGATGTTCAACAACAGCTGCTTCATAGCCATCCGGACTTCACAAAAACTTGCATTGTACAAACAGACAGTAGTGAATTCGGTAATGGGGGCTAATGGTTCAAGTACATTGACGGCCAGGAGACAATTTTATCTATTTTAAGTCGGACGCTTAGAGGGATCTGAACTCCGATTTTTCGCAACAGAGGCAAGGAAGCAAATGCCATAATCTGGGCAATATCAAAATTAACCGTATCTGAAGGGTAGACATTATATAATACGACAAGAACCATCAAGCTTTGACATTTTTTGAGTTAGGTTTGTCACCAGAGAATGACAGCCTGAAATCGCTGGTATTAAATCTACAAGAATTCTCATTTGAGATCTCATTTGAGATATTGGAAAGGAAGTTCAGAACCACCTGCTGACTTATAGCAGAAAGAGACTCTGGATAGGGAGAAAAGGATATGCGAACGCCAGGAATATCAAGTAATGGGATCAACTTGCGGAATTTCGAGGTCCCCATTATTGATTGGGAGGATCTCATAACATTGCAGAGAGAGACCATGAAAATTTACAAGGTCAAACAATTCAAGAAAGGACAACTGACCGAGGATGACGCGAATTTTGCCGACATTAAGGCAAAGAGACCGATGGAAATATACAAGAAGCAGTATTAATTCAAAACAGGAACGACCCGGAAACATGGAGAATTTGGGACCCCCGAAATTGTACCAACGAGTTGATCGAGTTTGCACATACAATCATGGCGCACTTCGGTGCGAAGAAGATTCATGCAAACTTTACAAATCCTTATGCTAACTGGAAGGGAATGAGAAACAGATCCAAAAGGTAAACTCATGTATCATAGTTTGAAAAGCCAAATACCCTTAACAGAAAGTATGATGGTCCCGATGAAACACATAATTACGGAAGAGAAAAACGACTTGGCTGCATTGGACGTGTATGGGGCCTTTGCCTCCGTAACAACCCAAGGCAACAAATACATATTTGTGATTTTTAGACGTATTTCAAAGTTTCGTTCAAAGTATCCCCAGTAATAAAGTGAATTCAAGAAACTGTTTGCAATTAGTCGAAAGATTCTATTCAAATTGCTGGGCCATTCAGAGGAATATTCTTCTGACAATGAACTATGTTTACTAGCGAAAGGTTGGGAAAGCAGGAATACAAGGATTTATGAAAATTTCCGGAATACATTCAACAGTGAACACCCTCAATCAAACCCATCGGCAGCGTAAATAATGAAAGAAATTGTCAGATTGTTTAGAACGTACTGTAGTGATGATCATAAAACCTGGAACAACTTGATCCCGACATTTAATCGTTGTTGGAACCAAATCCTCATGAATAGCACTGGGTATTACAAACGGGAGCAGATTTTCAAACAAATAACGCCTCATATCTTGTACGCATTTGGGAGAGACCGGAAATATCTCAAGTAGAACCATGAAGACAGGAACAAATATACCAAGCACCGGTGAAATCGGGAAAGGAAAGGAACGGCCGAACCTGCAGAAGAAGCTTACCAAATTTAGTGAGGGGCAATCGTTATTGTTACGGGTTCCAGGTGTCGAACCCGGGTCTAAAATTATATGCAAAATTTTTTCGTTATACGAGGGGCCGTACATTCCTAGACCAAGGTGACCGACCAGATGTTGGTATAGATTATTGAACGAGCAGTGCAAGAGGTGGTAGGACATAATAATTCCACAATTTGAGATCATGTCCTACACGTGAGAAGAATATGCAAAACTAGGCAAAGGTATAATCACTTGTTTTGTATAACAACCGGCGAGATGAATTATTAAGTTGTATTTATGATATTACAACTAAACTTGAATTTATTCAAGTATTTTGGAGAATCATTGTATGTTGTAGTGTTATAAATATTTAGTTCGTAAGAAGAGTCTTTTTTTTTGGGTCATGGTATAGGTAAACATAATGTCTAGTATAAGATGATCATGTACAAATTCCCGATTTTGTGAAAACTATTGTATTTGATAATCATATATTGGTATAAGATTGCTATAATTGTTGGCTTGGATTAATTAGTGATTGGATTTTTTTTTGGTAAAAAATCCGTGGAAAAAAGGGGGGAGGGGGTGATGAAACGAAGAAGTTTCTAGATATAACATTAAATTGATCATAATTACAATTAAATAAGTATGTGTTGATCAGCGTAGTAACGCCGCCGCCCACCACAACGTCAAATCGGGGGGTAGACGGCGAGGGCGAGCGACGGTTGGTGAGTGTGCCGCGAGAGGCCGTGAGTGAAACACGGACGGGCAGTGCTACATCAAACAAATTTTATGGTGGTGGTTAGAACAGTTTTGGATTGAATATGGCGGGTTAAGTGAGAGACTAGATTGATGAAAGTTTAATAATCGATGATTAGTGAAAGTGGAAAGTGCGCACCAGGACCGAAAATCAAAACATTAAACAGGAATTTGTGTGGCCGACGACACGTGTTATATTTTCCGCCCGGTGGTCTGCAGCAGCGGGCCGTGCTGTGCAGACATTCGCGCATTGAGAAAGATTGCCGAAGACGCCGCGCCGCTGCCAACGGCGCCCCGCTCGCCTCCCGCCCGCAGGTGGTGTTTAAAAGCATTAAGGTAGCGTTGAATTGTGCATTATTACCAAAGGCCTTGCGCGTTGCGTTTTGTAAATAATCATTTTTTTTTTTTTTTTTTTTTTTTTGTAACGAGTGTTTCTATATTAAATATTAATGCCACAAAAGAATTTCTTATGATGCATCTTCCAATGAAGGCCAAACGCCCTGGAAGCGCCATTTCACGAAAATGTCCTGTCCTGGTATAATCTTATTTTGTCGTGAGAGTACCGCTTGCCAGGTACGTCACTATATATATATATATATATATTATATATATAATATAATAATAATATATATATATTATATATTGTGGTGAATATATGACACTGTCCATATTTTTTTTAAATAATTAAGTAATTATAAACAAAATTACATATCAATATTAAAAGCTCTTTTTCCAAATGACGGTAACCCACGAAAACCTTAGTGTTTTGGATATATATATATATATAATGATTTTGATTACAAAAATCTATGATGACCTCTTCCAAAATCATCGGTTGGTTTCCCCCCTAATCATAAAATACACTTTTATTTAAAAAATATTTATAAAGAAGAAACATAAATTTATACAAATTGAAATTATATTAATGAAATATCAGGGTGGCAAGCGAACCTAAAATCCTTGAACACCGAAAAAACGGGACTTTGAAGAAAAAATGGAAGAACCGGGATTTGATTCGAAAACCAGGAGTTTTGTGGCTTTCAGATTTATCGCCATATTTAGCACAAATTCACTTACGGAATCGTATTCAATCGCATGATTCAGCTCTGTACATGAGAATGGCGATTGGTAAATTCGAAATATGTACGCTCATGAAAAATGCTACATGTACGCTCGAGGATTGTGAAGTCCTTGACTCGCACGTCACGCGATTTCAGTCACTGTCTTGTGTGTAGTGCAAAGTGGGTAGCACCACAGAGGTATATGGTTGTCTATGTACAGCATGTGTACGAAGAACGTCTCATCGGGAACTCAGTAGCTGCGTTTCGATTAGTGTGGCGCATCTTATTTGATATCATCTGTATTACTTGCGCAACTTTTCTTGAACGATGACCTTGCATCCCCCTCTCTGCCACAAGAAACAGTTGAAGGCAAAAGCTCGAGCACTGATGACATTCCAAACACATCTTCATTGGCTCGAAATAGAAACTATTTTCTGTTGAAGACAAAAACTTCTGTCCGTGGTTTTCTCCAAAAGATATAAAGAAATTACCGAAGCAGGTAAAGATTTATCGTAGGAGATACCTCAAACTCCTGAGAAAGTTGCGAAGGCATGACTGGTTCTCCATAGATTGGCATTGCTTCATAAAATCTAGTGGCCGATTTCGTAACTAATACCCCCACTCTACCTGCATTTCTTTAATCCATCGTTCAAGAAAAATTGCGCGAGTAATACCGCTTTCCTATTTTTCCAATCGAAACTACCCCGTTACGACATCCATGATACTCTGGACATAATATTTTTCCTTATTTGATAGAAAAGTGTAGTCGAATCTATATTAGCCTGATTTTGGGTGAGTGTCCAAATTGACAGGGAGAAGGGAGAAAATGAACATGGGGAGATCTTGACGGGGTTACAGTATACCCCATTCTCACCCCGGTTTAGGAGGTAATGGCATTAATTGAAAGACGTTAGAACACTGACTGTGATATTGGCACATCGGTCTGCGACGATTTCGTGTTACGCCTATTTCACCAACCTTCGTCAAATCGGTCTTTATGATCTTCATTTTCTTAAATATCAAATATTCGACGCATCGTTATGTTTCACCTACACTTTGGGGTAGAAATTAAGTTACGTTAGCTTTGACGATTGGTCAATGAACGTTCGTTGATTTATCATACTCATAATACTTGGTTACGTCACAATATGGTTCCGCGTTGGCTGGTGAATACACTAATGACGTACGATCTACTATATTTCAAGAAGGTTGACATTGTTTGCACCTCGAAATAGGAATATATTTATTTTTTAGTAATACGTCATTGCTTGTTTATTGCCTTCGATACGGAGCTCGATACTCGCTGCATAACTTACCTAAATTGAGGGGATCGTCGTTACGAGGGAAAATTGACAACAGTTTAATGTTGTTACGTGTTCTCTTACGGTAAAATTAAGGGAGGGAAATATGAAATGACAAACCCAGTCACGTATTCTAGTAAATAAATAAAAATGAATAATTAAAATTAGGTAAAAAAGACGTGTATGTACTACTGAAGTCTTAGAGACACTGCAGTGACATCAGTTGACTTTAGCCGTCTCTTCCAGTCCAGAACGGAAAACGAACTTTCCTCTGCCCCACTTTCATAGAAACGATAGATACAAAATAGTTATTTATCCACTAAGGGCATCATAACGGCATATGACCCAAGGGCATTTTGTCACCCGAGATCATTAGAACCAGTTACATACCGCCCGTGGTACATAACATGACTAGAGGGCTGATTTTTATGCACTTAAAATTGTTGAAATACGCATGCATTTATGCACCTAAAATCAGTTAAATATGCACCAAAACCTGACAACATGCACAAGAAATGATTGTGCATTATCAATAAATTACTTCAAATATACCTATTTAAATGATTTTTATTCACTCATAGTACATTTACTTACCCGCATTGTTGTGGAAATATACATTGTTTTTCTATGTTTGAAGTTACCAATTATAGTGTCAATTATAAAAATAGTTATCAAAACCCTCTCCAAACTTTTTCTTCAAATTTTATTCGCAGATCACGGGATGCTTCAAATGATTGTGCAGGACTAATTATTGTTCTAACTAAATGTTTGAAAATTCAATTTTAGAAATATTGCGAGACGTATATGCTGCTGTGGCGCTTTTTTTAAATAAAGCCTTTTCATACTTAAAAGTCAAAAGAAAAAAGTATGAAAAGCTTGTCTTATTTCCAAAAAATATGTGCTAACTAAGCAAGTTTTCACAGAGCTAAAGTATCCTTATTACAAAGAATTTTACTTAATTTTACCTCTTGTAAGAATAACTGTTTTGTCATGCTTTTCATTATTAAACTCTTAAATCATGTTTTCATCGAATACGTTTATTAGATACTTTGAAGAATGAGGGTCCCTGACGCTGTTTTACAACAAAAAGCATAAAAGATCGGAAACATCTGTATTTATTGGTCTCGCCCCTTCTGCGTTTTTCGGGTGAGCATGCCATGAAACATTTACCAACTTTGAGAGCTCACATAAAAACATGCATTTTGCATGGAAACCCAATTTATCCCGGCACATAGATATGTACAGAACCCGTGACAGTGTTCCATTTTCTTGCTTAAAGGGAGTAGCGGAATAAGGCAGGCAAACCTGCCCCCTCCCCCGCGAAAAACATTTTTTATAATGAAAATGGTAATTGAAGAGAGAGAAAAACAAGTGTTTCACCGAATTTAAATCATTTTTCCCGTTGTGCTTCCTACAAATGTAAAAAAAGCCTGTTTTTTAAATTCTTATATAACTATATATAAGTATAAATCCTTTTAAACCACATTAAGCCGACGAATATTGACTTCAATTATCCTTACTATTTTCTACACCTAAAAATTTATCGAAAATGTTTTCAAGTGTTTATATCTGATTTTGACCCTTACAATTAACAAAAATGAAGGGGAAAATAGAAAAAAAACGTTCTTCCTTTATTTTTTAAAGAATATCTCATGTTCAGACACATTATAGTTAATGGTGCTACACTAGCACATACGTTCTCGCATTATTGGAAACTGCTACTTAATATTGAATTTTCTGCGCTACTAACACCTCAGCTATTACTTGGAATACGTCCGATTCAACCAATTCAAACCAAGCGTCTGTCATACATATCTGCAATCATTTTGTTAGTCAAAAGTAGCAATAATGTATTATTTTGACTAATGAAATAAACAGGAATATATTTCAATTACAGTATTTGCAGCAAATTATTCAGAAGCGAGCAGCGCAATGCTGCTAGCACTGGCTCTTGACAGTATTACTGTTAACTCTTTGGCCCTTAGATTTTTCACGGGGAGAATGGTCCCATTTTTTCATAGTGTGCGAAACACGATTGATGATGATTGGCGTATTGATATACGCCTTTTAATATTTCAAATATTGCCGCTAGAAAATCATATTGTAATTACATATCTCTATACAGTTCTATATACATGAAAATACTGCGACAAAAATATGTATTTTATTTTTTTTAAACATGGCGCGCCAATAAAAAAAAGTGAAATAATTATAGAAGATAGCTGATTTTTAGGGCCACATTTGAGTATTTTCTCGTTCACCCGGTAAAACTAAAACTTGCTTTTAAACAATCCAAAATTTTAAAATCCATTTAAAAGTTTGTATTTCAAAGCAAATAAAATTTTTAAAATTATTTTTCAAAAATGTATTAAATTTTAGTAAAATCATTATTTTCAGAGGAAATTCATTTGGTCAATCCAATGAAAAAAAAACTTTAAAAAATACATTTTTCGTTATTACGAAGGATGTGAAAGTAGAGGGATCTAAAGCTCCATGAAAAAATGTTTTTTGTGGTCACAATCCTTTGAAAAGATTTACTTTTCGAGTTCAAGCGGGGGCACTTTTTAACATATTATTCTTTAAATAAAAAAATTGGTGCAGTTTTTTAGAAAATTCATGAAAAAGGGGCTTAATGTAAAGTACCCCCCAATTTTGAAGAATGTGCTTTCAAGATCCGAGCTTCAATTCGAGCCAGGTATGGTTTAGGCGCTTGTGGTGTTAATACGGCAGTTTTGACTACAGATTTTTCGGTACCCACAAAACAGAAAATTTGATTACACTACGTGCTAGAAGATTTTTCTGATTTTAGCAACTGAATTGATCTACTTTTTCGTTATAAGAGCCCGGCATGATTTTTTTCTGCCGACAATTCGCTTTTTTTTTTTCTTCTTTTTTTTTTCTTCACAGCATTACATGACTTTCTCTGTACCACGTATAATACTCCTTATATACGTATGTATACGAGAGAGAAAACTAAGGAAACAAGTTTTTTTCCCCCTTCTTTTTTGTTGGTTCAAAATCCGACATATACACCTGAAAACAATCTGGACACATCTTTATCTGTAGAAAATCGCAATTTTTTTAAAAACTTGCTTTAGAATCTAAACTAGTGATGCTACAGAATTGCATAGACTTTTCCATATTAGTTTTCTGTTTCCTTTGGTCTCAGATAGCTATTCGGACTTGCACATACTCTTGCCGGCTGCCATCGATCGCTGAATTTTTTGATACTTTTTTAATTTTTTCTGTTTTCTAATAAAAGAACGGAAATATTATTTTAAGAATATTAATGACAGTTTTATGTATATTAAATGGCAGTTTCCTTCGAAAAATTTGAAGCTATTTTTAAGAAATTTGGAATTTAAGTGCTACTGTAAATTCGAAATTTTTAGCTGTTCCTCACTGAAAATACTTCCAAAAACTGCATATGAAGTAATTTATCACTTTTAGAAACAAATGCATTAACAAATCGCTGGAACAAGTGCATAAACAAATCGCTGGAAATGTACATATTAAAGGCGTACGATAAAATATTTTTAAAAAATACATCTGAATTCTTTGAAAAAACAAAAAATATAGGAAAAATAAATTGTCATCTCAAACAGTACATTTAACATCACAAGAACTTTGAAGAAAGAATTTGGAGCCATTTTTTAAAACATGACGTTTGAGGGTTTTAGAAAATGGGGTTTTAGGGTTTCTAAAAATCCGTAATTTTGAGTTTATTTTCACACAAAACAATTTATTTTTCGAGAAACATTATCTGACATTATTTAAAGCATTTGTTCTCAAATACATTAATGCGAACAAATTGCCGCTAATGTAATGTAACGTTTCTCGGTGGTGAATTAAAACGCACACAATATTTATAATTTTAACAAAGATGTTTATTTGTAAAGAATTATACACTAAAACTACTTGATCCATTTACAGATATATTACACAGTCCTTGTGTTCTTCAAATGATTATTTTCCTTACACACGACTCCGTTCTCTTGATTATTTATTTACTCTGTTCACTGCAATCGGATTATTTATTTACACTGTTCACTTCAACTCTATCGCACAGTTCGATGCACTGTCCATGGTCCACTGCGCTGACCACAATTCACTGCGCACACCACAATTCCCTGGGAAGACCACAATTCACAGCGTAGACCACAATTCACTGCCCAGACCAGGGTCCACTGCACTGCTGTTTACCGCAATGCACACGTCACAGCTCAGCTTCTACTGCAGACTTCAAACTGCTGACTGCTGTTCACCCACTGCACCATTGTTCAGCGCAATGTACACTTTACAGTTCAGTTTCCACTTCAGACACTGACGGACTGTTTGCTTATTACTTGTAATACTTGACTACATATGTACACTGATTGACTCGCGGCTGCTTACTGCCTGACTACTAACTCGCGGCCTCCGGCAGCTGTGAATTTATACCTGACTGGCGCTTGTCTCGACACAACCGGCACTTGCTCCACCTTTTTATGCGACTCTGGAATAAACCGGAACCGTCCAGTTTGGGGGGAAGGGGGCGGCCCCGGCAGGCGATGCAATCCGCGCAGCTAATTCCGGCAGGTGATGCAGTATTCGTTACAGTAAATGTTAACGACGTGAGAGATAAGTAAAAATATACTTTTGCATTTCTAGAATAAACAAAAGAACAGAGAAATATGGCGTTTGTATTTTCTGATAGAGTGCATTTAGTACTTTCTCTACATAAAGTTTAAAGGAAACATTTGGAGCCCTTTTTGAGAAAATGTTGTTCTCGTAAGTTTTTAAATTGCAAATATTGCACGCAATGACGTGAAAGCTACTACAATATTTAAAAAAAATGTATATGGCCGTAATGAAAGAACTACTGACAGCAAATTTTATTTGAAGGAAAATATCTTCAATTTTGTTGAGGCTTCGAAATATTTCTTAGATGATAGGGAAAGCATTTGCCAAAACTGCGACGAGAAGTTCTGTGCATCGCCTTTCTGTGTTCTCATCGGAAGAGAAGATTCTGAAAAGACAACACACAATTGACAAGATTAACACTTGCCGTAAAGATAATTAAGTATTGAAGAGAGGATTATCTTTGTCTTGAAGACAATAAACGTTTTCCTTACGAATTCAATTCGTTATTCATGCTTTATGCTGTTTTTGCCGCGAATCAGAGCGCGGGTCACGGAGACTGCATATCGTGCTGGGAATTACTCGCCAACGTACCAAATCAATTTTCAATGCGCCCAATACTCGTATTTCTTAGTTTCTCTACACGATTGATGCGAAACTGCTCGAGGCTCCATATTCTTAAACTATGCGAACTCATTGGCATCGGCAGCCCAGGAGATGGTGCGGTCTTTCGGTCACTTTTGGAAGCAGTTGAAGGTATATTCCAGATAGTTTCGACATCTTGCTTCTTGTGAGAGAGTTCGCGGGTTTTTGTGGGGTCAAATCATATTATCTTGTACGCGCAACGTTTGAAATGTTTATCTTTCCTTCCGAAATACTTCATAGACTTGTCTAAATGAATGTGATGCAAGGGCGGCGCCAAATTTAAATTGATTTTGCCGTCTATGCAACACATTTTCTAATTGTACGAAGACTCCGAAGAAAATTCAAACTTTTGCAATTATCGAAAATTTGAGATGTATACTGGCAAGTAAAAACTCGTTTTTTACTCTCTCGCACTTAATCACTTAAGAAGAAAAAGTATTATAATCGTGCACTGAAAACAGCGAATTTCCCACACAAAAACTCATATTGCCGGGACATGGTAAGGAAAAAGTGGATAAATACAGTTGCTTATAGAAATATAGAACAAAAATCCTCTTAACCCCTGGTGTAGCCAGAATCTATGTTTTGTGCGTCCTTCTCACCGCAAAATCGATTGACTTCAAAACGACTGTCTGAAGCGGACGTAATCAGTATCTACACGGCTGCCCGGGAGACGCCGCGTACTGGGCACCGATGCCAACATCTCTGCCGTTATGGCGTGACCTTCTTCAGGGCGAAATGCTCGCAGGCCGGCGAAACGTTGGGAACTCTGCCTAGGACGCGGCTTCTTCCCGACGGCCAAGTAGATAGTGCAGGTGTTATTTACATATCTTGATGTTGCCTAAATTACAGTGATTGCGAGTAAAATAGAAATGTGTGAGAATGGATGATAGAATCTTACGTAAATTTAATGAAAGAATTTTAGTATGATAAGGTGTGAAACAAATATGTTAACAATGCCTGAACATTTCCACTTTTTCTTGTCGAAAATGTTTATAATTTGCTTCTTTTCAGTAAGACCTTTTTCTCAGCAAAGATTTACAATCTTGTGATTTGTTTAGTGCTGAGAAATCTGAAGATGGGTGATATGTCCTGGGAAATAATGTCTAGGGGTTTTGGGGTCAGACCTTACAATCTCTTACATTAACCTTTCTTCCGGCGACTTGTGGGATGTGATGCATTTGCAGTCTTATCGTGATGGAAACTTTACACACACACATACGGAGAGAGCATTCTGAATAGTATATTTAGTCTTCATCAGGCATCTGAACAACACTGGAACGGTATCCGTTTGGCGAGTTAATAACTTACCACTTATCTTTTATTTGTAGGTGATAAGGAATTTCGTCATGCAAATGGAAGTTCAGCATTAGTGAGACCTCTCAAACAACGAAAGCAATGTCAGGAGAATAAGTTGCAACAACAGCAACAGCAATCTCAACAGAAGGAGGAACATGAACAGCTGCAACAACCAACGGAACAACTGCACTTGTCACGAGGAAAACCATCAATACATGGGCTGCAGCGACAACAGTCATCCTACGATTTGTCGTCTTCCTCTGGGTTAGCCACGTCACTTGAACTTACATTGCCAGCAAGTGAACGAACTGTTGGTGAAGAAAGCAACGAACATGAGGATGCCAATGAAGTGCGTGGAAATGATACCAGTGATGTTACAAAACATATGCATGAACAAAATGTCACCACACGCTCAAGTAAGTAAACATTTTTACCTTATTTTCCTCTCACAAAATAATTGTGTGTTCATTACCAGTATATAAATTAATATTTGTTCAGTATACAGGTAATGGGAAATATAAGTTAAATAATTTGAGGTTTAAAAAATCATGATGTTATATGTTCTTATGAAGATGATTTTAGCAACATATTGAGCATTAAAACCTTAGTGAAAAGGTCATCGTTGATCAGTACTTGCATTCCGAAATGCCAACACTTCACAAATAGATTAATTACATAGACACACAGAGAAAAACGTTGTCAGCCTAAAGATTTGACATATGTTTCTCTATGTTTGTGGACGGGCTGAATCTGAATGTAAAGCCGAAATTGTGCCATCGCCCTCCAGTTTTTATCGCGAAAAACAAACGTGAAATTGTATTTTTTGGGGGTGTGTGGGGGGGAGGGTAGTTGTCAGATCCTAACTTCACACATGTTTCTCTATTATGTCGACATGCTGAATGCGAATCTGAAGCCAGAATGGCCCCATCGTCCTCAAGTATTTCGCGATTTAAAAACCTGAAAGTTGACGTAATTCTGGATTCAAATTCAGCTCTTCGACATTCATCATGTGCACTACGGTGTTAACGCACGGGCCCAGACCCAGGGCCCCGGTACTTCTTAAGAAAATTATTTAATACTATTTTTTAAAGTAAAAACGAAAACAAAACAATTCATCTACACGCAAAACCTCCGAGCACCGAGGAGCTCGTCAAAGCAATCCATTGCACCGGGCCATTTAGAGGTTAGCTACAGAAGTTGATTTGGATTCGTGGTGAAACTGTGACGGCAATTGATCTTCTGTCACGTAGGGACACTTTGAATGATGGAGTATTTCACGTTTTACAAGAAACGTCCCAAAATAGTGTTTGTGACTTACGAAAAGTTCGGAAAATCAGTTTTTCCTAAATTTCAACCCTGAATAACTTTCTATTCACAAATCCAGTGCTACGAGTATTGGCTAACCAAAATGTAGGTATGTCTCTATTTTTTATTCATATACTTATTTCACGTCGAAACAGTTAAATACTGTGAATGACGCTACTGCGAGAAGTGAATTCTTTGATTCCTACCCTAAGCCATATACAGACTAAATTTTTAATACAAAGAGGAGGATTTTTGGAAGGATTCTTAACAAAACAAATCGCTCCGATGTAGCAAGAGTAAATTACCTATAGATTTGTGCTTCAATCCCCAATCATCCCCTTCGTGAGGGAATATACTTCTGCCGCGACAACATGGAGAAAGATAATTTGAATAACTATATTTCCCACTGAATTCTAGAAGGTGTGCACAGATAATGAAGATACATTTATGTCCGAAAGCAAAACAGGGAGCTATCCCAACATACGTTCAAAGTATCAGGGAAACTGGACGAAAAACTTGATCGCGAAGGGGGTCATTGACCCAGAAGCTGAGGTCCTATACATAATTGTACATAGTAAATAATAATTAAATATCACTCGGTTAAAATTAATATTACTTTCCCTTTGATGCTCGGTATAGTATCAAATTGTATAGAAATAGATATGCAGCAGAATGTAGAACATGTATTGTTCATTCATCACGATGATCATGTTGAACACATATTGTTAATCATTTTTGACAAAAACAAATGATTCGTTAAGACAATCTATTAGAGCTCAAAAATGTTCTTACTTGCGACAAAAAAAATACAGGAACGAAGGATGCAATATTGTTTACATGGACCATATATTCTAACCCGCCTACCCAACTCGAACCACCTTCAGCAGCAGCACGCATGTGCAGTAAGCGTGTTATCAAGAATGCTCGTCAAGCGAGCTTAAAATTCTCATGAATCAGGATCTTTCGGGTACGAGAAAGGTCTAAACCCTCGACACAATAAATTGCAAATATTGTGAACAAACGAGCGTATAATTTACCCATGGCACAATTACACGACACAAAAAATGAACACACTTTTACAGAGAATAAATAGAACAAAAATAGAAACCTTACATTACACAATTCTAACTTCCCTCGCGCATAACAAAACAAATGTTCCCACTTTAAGCTATTTTAGTGAACTGTCGCGTTGATGCGATCGCTTTTTTTTCTAACGAAACTGCTGTGGTACAAACGCATGTGTCTCACCGACGCTGCGATGCTCGTTGCCAGATGACCTCGCCAATTCAAGGTTGTGGCCGCTTCAACGTTTCGCCGAGTTCTTCACTTGCTGCGTCGACCGTTCGAAGTCCCACGCTGAACCCAGATCCTTCGCACCCCTGTCTTCCATCCAAGACCATACCTTTTGCACGTACGATTGAGCCTTCTTGGAGATGCCTTCTTTTTCTATCTTCACACGCCTCGTATAAATTAATTCGCGCTTCCAGTTTTATCTAATTTGCTGCGCCCATTTCGTTTGCGTGCGCGGCCTAACTACTACACTTTTGGCTTGTGCAGAAATAAGGAACAATATGACTGTACTGGAATAATTCAGAGTCCTGCTCGAATCTAGGCCATATTAGACTTATTGCCGGTTCAAAAATTTCAACTACTTTCTCCTATCACTTCGGTAGTCTAATTTCTACAATGCTAGCTCCACGTATTTAAATAAACTCCTACTCTATCTCGAGAAGACCTTGTGATTCAAGCGCTGCCGATGCGATCGTTTTCGGCACCGGAATATCAGAGAGCTCTCCCGAAGCGTGTTCCCGTATTTATGGCTCGACGGCTGGGGAAATTTAAAGAGTGGGGTTGCTTCCCCTCTTTCAACCCTCCACGGGAAAAACGTTGCTCGCTAGTTCGAGCGCTC